CCACTCACTGGGATTCTCTGCCTTATTCCCTGGTTCCAGCTGTCATCCACAATATGTAACTTTAGCCAGATACTTTCTCTAGATCCAGTTCCACACCTTTCAACTGAACACCGAACATCTCCACTTGGAAGTCCCAGAGGCACCACAAACTGAGAGTTCAAACTAGAATCCATTCCCTTCCCTACCTGACCTACTTCTTCATGTTTAAAAGTAGAAGGGGAAGAGAAATGTGAATACCCTTGCCCCTTCTTCTCTTAGTCTAAATTGCATTCTTGCCTCTACACTGCCTTGTCTTAAGGGTCAGTCACTTACGTCATTCCCAGAAATAAGTCTTTTTGCCAGGGAAAGACTGCATTTTCATTTTCTGAAAATGATGTTGAATGATTCCTCATATGTGCATGACCCAGAGAGGCCACTGTACCCAAAACTTTAAACCAACCCATGTCCCTTGAACCTGCGACAAAAGCACTAATGTAAGAATCTGGGGACTTGGGGCCATAGTTAGACCCAAAACTGGCTATAAGATCACTTAACCCTCCAAAACATCTAGGAATGTTATACACTGCTGTTGTAGCATCAGCGTTGCCCTTAGAAACGAGTACAATGGTCCCCCTAACCCCATGCATTGAAGGGCACACATTCTAGCCCCCCATACACACACACACACACACACACACACACACTTAAAAAATACATGGATGCCTGTGTCACATGGAATCTGGTGCTTATTGTCAGCACAGCACAACTAGTGACCCTGAACATCTGTACTTTGTCACTGTTCAGAATCCAGGAAAATGCTTCTCCACTTCTGTTTCCCTGTGTCCTCTAAAAAAAAAGCAACTGTATCCAAGTGCCACGAAGATTTGTAGATCGTGCCACTGCTTACATAAGAGACAGTATTCTTTCAGACTGTAGGGAAGAGTTGAACAGTGGAAGCACTTATGGAAGAGAAAAAACAAGCTAACTTATCAAAGCCTTCTCAGATAAGAGAATGCAGTAGACTATTGTTTAATCAACTATCATTTCCTAGTAGTGTCCATTTTCTTGCTTATCTTTATTTTCCAGTTTGTGGTCCCAGAGATAATAAAAAAAGTTAGGGCAGTATTTTCAACAGTTGCACATGGAGATTGAGAATATTAAACAACTTATATTTCTCCTGATTTTAGGATGGGTGAATGGAGAGAGAGAGAGAAGATAGATGTAACCTGTGAAGACATTATCATACGTTGGAAGCAGATTCTGGGATAAAGATTAGAGTATATAGGAGATTAGAGAGTGCTCCTGAGATCGATACTTGCAGAAGGAAAATGAGGAAAGAGGCAGGAATGAAATGGAGAAATCAAATTTCAGTGCACTACCAATGTAATGCTGCAACATATCCCATAGGGAATTCCGAAGAGAGGATGAAATTTCTGAGCTATCTTGAGTTGGGTCAAGAAGTCCAGATCTTTATACACAGTGTCAATAAGTAATTGGATGTGGGCCACCTTGAGAATGGGGTACGATCTTGACTAACACAACTCCCTTGGGCTGATGCAATCGCTGTAGGGGGCTGACAGCCAAGGGCTCTCTGATGGAACATGCCCAACCTGCTATATTTACAAAGAAAGTGAAGAAATTGCTAAAAGGAGCTCTGGAGAGGGCATTTCAGTGTCCACTACAGTCCACCTCTTGTGCCTCCCAGATCCACTTCATGTAAGTTCTGAGATCAGCTCTTTCCAGGGATCTGGTGGGCCTCTCTTCCTGGGAAAACTTAAGACAAGCTACGTACCCCAACTTTGCAGGTGGTCTTAAAGCCGCTAATGATCATCTCCCTCTTTCACTGTTAATTACAGATCCCCATCATTCTTAGGGTCTTGGTGGATTACCTAGCAGTGTGACCCCAAACTCTCAACCCTTTCCTAGACTGGAATTTGATTTGGCTTTCTTAGACTGGAATTGCTATACTTGCTGATACCCACATACCAAGCCCACCAATCTATAGCTCTGACTCCACAGGCCAATGAATCAACATCAAAATGTACCAACTATCGAAATGTGTATTCCAATTATACATCCAGAAACGAGGGAAATAATCACCAGATGTGTCAATGGACCCAGGAACCACTGTGAACCCGACCTCAGTCAGGAACCCATAAAATACTGGGCTCCCATCATCATGTTTAGTCTTTGGCTCTCAGTATCAACTCTGAACAAGTGTTTACTAATCCTCAAAAATGCCTGAGTATTCCTCTCTCCCCAGTGTACAGATAGCTGAGCAGATGGAAGGACCAAAGGAATCCTTACTGTTCATGTATTGTAGGGTCTTTTGGGGCACCCAGTCTCTCCTTTAAGCAGTGCATTCTGGATCAAACACTGATTTAGGGCCAGAAACTAGGCAAGTGATTGTGATGGTCAGACTCTTGCCATCTTTAATTGCTTTTGATTATATAGCTTGAATAAACTGTTGGCTGCCGATTTTCCCCAAAGCACTGTGTTATTCTGACCACTCATTCTATTAACTACCTCTGCCCCATCTATTCACCAGTGGTTCTGTGCTCTTTTAGCCATTTCTACAGCTCCCTAAAGGTCACTTCTCCTGCCACCCTGGCCCCGCAGTGCATTATAGCATTTGCATCCACCTGACTTCTGACATTTAACTGCAGTCATCTTGCCTCAATGGTTTCCAAGCCATCCCCATTTCTACCAGCAGTCCTCTGAGCCCTGGCCTGCAGTGGTGAGCCACCACCGAACCTCTTAGTGATGTCAGTGTCCCTGTCACCTGCATGTCCCTTATAGCTTTGGCAAATGCCATGTTCCTTGGGTACTCCAGCAGAACATGGCCCTCTGGAGGGTTTTCTGGCCTTATGTAATATATTTATAGTATATCATTCACTTCCTTAAGCCTTTAATACTTTCTCCCACATCTGCTCTGGCAACCCTGGCATTCATACCTCACTTAATGTAGGCCATTATTTTTTTCCATACTTTGAGAATTCATTTTGGTAGTGAGTTCTCATGCTCTCCTGAGGTCTGTGTCATGGTTTTAAATCCTGTATCTTGGAAGAGACCTCTCCAATCAATTAACTCTCCAATAATTTTATATTCCAGGTCCATTGATCAAGCTCCTCAGAATTCAGTCCCAAGTTACTACCTCAGCACCTTCTAGTACACATTGGCTAGGTCTGAAGCTCCTTGTTGGGCTAGTCCCTTTCCTTCCTTACTAGGTCCAGCACAAGGTTCTGCTGTTAACTTAATCCCATATATAGACCCAGTATCCAGGAGGGGAGGTAGGGGAAAATTCTGAGAGAAACATGTTATAAGAGAAAGGACTCTGAATATTCAAGTAAATGGAGCATTCACCTTTAAAAGGGAAAGTGGACATTTATGAATGAAGGAGGGCTTGGGGAAATCTCAGGACACAGGATTTTAAGGGACATCAATCCAGATGTCTCCATCCTATGTGTCAGCATCTCATTCCTTGGGACTTTACTTTCTTTGAAGCTTGCTTTCAATAAGTCCTGGGCTGGGCCCCAGATTTTCTACTCTCTACCTGAAAGAGACTAGAACCACTTTGTATTGTATGAATGAAGCTTTCTGGCTTTCACACATTGCTTTTATTTAATTTTATTTTGCATAGAAGAACTGGGGTGTAGGCCAGAGGTGCAGGGGTAAGGGGACTCACCAGAGGCAGAGTGGGGAGCAGAACAGGTGGATCTACTGAAATGCTGAGGGGAGCAGTGAGTGAGACAGGACAGGTCAGCTGTGCCATGAGTGTTAGCTCCCTGGCAGGGGATGGTATCAGGCCATAGCAGTGATAGCACTGAGACTTAACTCCTAGGCCACCAGGAGTTAACTCCTAAGCCACCACATGGCTTTTAATTGTTGATTAATTTAATTTAGCTTTTCATTATTTGTTTGTAGAGGTCAATCAAGCTTAGTAATAGACACACAGTATACTGACCTTTCTTATATTTAATATTTCCCACACATACCTCACATGTCTGTGATATGCCACCAATTAATGCATTCCCTTTCACCAGTATGCCAACCCAGTGAGGTCTTATAATTCTTTTGCTACCTGTCTATCTACTGCACCTACCACCAATGGTGGGGTCCTCATTGCCAGCCAGGAAACAGGTGATCCATCTCCAAAATTTCATCACAGTGTGTGCCTTCCTGAACCACTTCTTGTACCAACTCTTGTAGGCTGACTTCCTGGAGAGCAGACTCAGACAGAGGTCAACAGGAAGGGCTTTTTTTAGGGAATGCTCTTGGGATCAACACCTGTGGAAGGGAAAAGAATGAAGCAGGATTGGACAGAGGAGAAGTTAAGCTGTTCCACTCAGGGTATAGAAGGCCTTGTCAATCAGTGATTGGATGTGAAGTACCCCAGGAAGTGGGTATGACCTTGGGAGGGGGAAAGTGCTTTTCTCCATCTGAGGCAATTCCTGAAGAGGGCTGACAGCAGAGAGCTGTCTGCTGGCAGCTGGCAGCTCTCCCAGCAACTGAAATAGTAAGCCCTTTATTCCTGAAAGGGGATTAGGGCAGCAGATTGCTGAATTTACCACAAACGTGACATCACTTTTTCCATTAGCAAGCTGGTAGCCATAGAATATTAGAATTGAGAAGAGTTTTTCTTTAAAAATGGTTAATAAACCAAACAATTCCTAGAAACATGACTGCAGAATTGAAGCTATCAGAGTGGGAGGGAAGAGAGGGTGGAAACAAATAGGGCAGAAGGCCAAGTGGCCTGGGGTAAAGGACTGTGGGTGCTTTGATGATGAGTGTGGTGTGGTGACATACACTGAGGAGGTGTGAACCTGTTCCCCTAAATCATATACAGTGTTGTAGACCAATGTTAGCTCAGTAAAGAAAAATTAAATAAATGAATGAAACTGACTTTAACTTTTTAACACTGACTTTGCAGTGTTAAAAAAAATAAAAATGGTTAATAAAGACTTAAAATTTCAAACAACCACACTTATATTTATAGATTTAGGTAAATAATATTTATTTAAATTTTTAATGAATATTTTCCAAGTATTAAGACATAAATAGGAAATCCTCCACTTAAACGTTTGCGGTAGGCCCTGAAAGGCTATTAAGAGGCCAGCCTAGCCTGAATCCAACTGTTTCCTTTCGGCAAATTATACAAAAATCCTGGTTCACAATATAAAAGACATAAAATACAGGTGAGTAAAAAACAAAACTATAAACCATCTATTAATCTATCTAGCAATTACACCCATAGAGAACGGTTAACATTTTGAGTATATGCTCAAGTTTTATATACAGATCATTTAAGTATATGCCTTTTCTTTATAAAAAGCATTGCATTTTTTGCAACCTATTTTACCCCACTTAAGATTATATGCTGCATTTTTTTCCATGTAAGTAAAAGTAGATGCTCACCAATGTTTTCAAAGGCTGCACAATGCCTCAGTGTGCAGATATACCTTAGTTTGCCTTTTTTTGAGACACTTGGGTCATTCACATTTTCACTCTTCAAAATGGTGCAGACATGCACAGCTTTATGCAAGCCAACTATTTCCTAAGGATAAATTTCGACAAGTGGAATTACCTGATCAAAGTGCGTGCACCTCTTGACAGTTTCTGGAATGTGTCCAAAGGGACCTCGTACCAATGTGCGCTCCCACCAGGACCCCAGACAATGCTCCTCTCCCCGCACCCTCATCCGCACTCTGGGTAGGAGAGGGGTGTATCTTCTCCAAGATGTACACCAACAGCTCTCTCTATGACTCCCTCAAGGCCCTACCCTAACCACCCTTGCAAAAGAAATCTCATAGCAGCACTAAAAAGTATTCTTCTTCTGTTCTATCTTCTTCTGACGTCAAAGTAGTAACTAACATATTCACTTACATGGCCACCACCACTTCCATTGGCCAAGAAAGGATGTTTTCCTATCAGCTGCCCCCAGGATCCTAACATAAAAATGTCCCTCTCTGTATGTGCCCAGAATAGGTTCCAGCACTTCTTGATTCAAGGTTCTGGCACTTTCCACTTCCCCTCACCATTCCCAGGCCACCCAGCAGTGACATCTCACTCCTTTGTCATCTCCTGCCTGAACTGTGCTGTATCTTCCTGACTGGTTTTCCAGGCTCCAGGGGGCACTCCTCTCTCCACCCCAACTCAACCCATCCTGCTCACACATCAGCCACAACTTTCCTAGCATCCTATCATTCCTCTGGTCAAGACAGACAGACTCTGGTGTCTCCCAGGGGTGGGCGGAGTAACATTAGGACACCTCGGTTTAGCAGTGGTGGGGAGCAGTTCTCCAGGACTCAGTCTGGTCCCAACTGCTGGACTATCTTCCCATCACTCCCCTCCCCACACTGTGTACTCCAGGCAGGCCAGCCTCCTGTCTGGAGCAGGAGCCCCCCCTCCATGCCTTTCTTTTCATCACTCCTCCCTCCTCTAATGTCCTTCTGCCCTGTTTTTACCCCACCCTTCGTGCCCAGCTTCTTGAAGCTTCTGCCTCCTCCATAAAACTTGCCCTGAGCACCGTGCCAGTGGCGGTCTCTGCACTGATGAGAAAAGGTGGCCATGATCAGGGGCTCCGGTGTTGTTAGTATCTTTCTGTTTCCAAACACCTTGCCTTTCTAAATGCATCATAAACTCAAGGAGAAAGATAGGTCTTTTTTTTTTCTGCTTAAAACACACAACTTTATTGATGACAAAAAATAAAGTATCATATGTATAAGCATAAGTCCACACAAAGGACCAAAGATTACCTTTACTTATGAAGAATCGGTTCAGTTTCTGCTCATGAAGCATACTAAAAATATCTCAATCCAGACAAGGTAAAAGTCAACACACATATTTTCAGTACAAACTTGAATTCATTTGGTGTTTATAAAATGGTCTAGTTATAGACCATTGTAGGTAACATTAGTTTTGAAGTTATAATGCAATTTACAATGTGCATTACTTTCAGACTGCAAAACCAGGTTGTTTGGAAACGTACGGCTACTCAGAGCTTACTTAATAATAGCTCAACTTTTTCTTTCACCTCAGGGTCATTGTATTCTGCTGCTAAGACTCGAAGTTTCTTGGCACATGCTTTAGGCCGGTGAAATACGAAATAAAGGGAATTTTTACTGAACTTGTCCTGGGTGAATACTTTTGCTCTTCTTTTAAAATGGTAATTTATATTTTCAAATAGTGAGAGAGCATTAAGAATATTCTCTTTTGTCTCTTTCTTGTTAAAGATATTGATCAGTGTGGTTGGTGCACTGGCAATGAGCAAGTCTTTGGTCATAGATGGATTTTTAGAGAAATTTAAAAGCATTCCTAATACATGGTCTTTAATTTCTACACTTCCCACAGTTAACAAACGGAGAAATTCTGAAATATAGTTCGTAACCATATGCTGGTATTCACTAATAATTGTCAGGTGTTTTATCAGTCTTAGCCCAGCCAGCTGCACATTTGAATTCAAGGGGTAGGTGACAGTATCTTCACATACTTGGTTTAAGTATGTTTTAACCTGCCTATGATTTTCAGCAGCCACCGAGATATTGTTCAGCGCATTTAAAGCTTTCTGCCTAACACTGGGATAGGGATTACTGAGCAAACTTTCAATAATTGAGAGCCTACCTGCATTGCGAATGACTTCATGGGAAAGCGGACAATCAGGACTATTATATAAAGCATTATTGGCTATTTCATGAACAGAAGGATCTTCAGTCATTTCAATCATGCAAATGAGTTTTTCAAGTTCTCTTGGATCCATATTAGCTTCACGTTTGCAGCGGCAGGGCAAGGACTGAGTTTTCTCCTCGGGCCTGATCTGCTTTCTGAACTCATCTTCAGGTGGATAGCAGGACTGATTTTGGTATGGTAATTTCATTTCTGTCCAGAACATGGCTCCTGCCCATGACCCCATCCCTGCCCCAGGAACCATGGAAGGGTATGTCCCTGGTGGCTTAGTTTTAGGTGCAGAATTGTCCTCACTTTTGTTTTCACCATCCCAGAACCAAGATTTTATATCAACTCCACCAGCAGCCTCAAGCTTATCCTTGTTGCTGGCTTTATCTCTGGCCCCATATTCAAAGTTGACATCTTTCTCACTCTTGGATCTGAACTCATTACTGTTCTCAGTGTCAGCCCAAAACAAAGACCTTAAACTGATCTCCTCAATATCAGGGCTGGACACTCTACTTAGCTCATCATCATCTTCTTCTTCTGCCAAAGTCCACAGCCCCATGTCAGCTTCTTTCTCAGGTCCAAGTCGAGACCCTGTAGTGGCTGCATCTCCATCCCAGAGCCAAGACTCCTTCCTGACCTCAGCCCCAGCCCCAGCCTCTGCTCCCACACAGGAATCCACATAGGCTGCCTCTTCAGATCTGATCCAGGATCCAATATTGGCCTTGTCTTCAGCCCCAAATCTGGAACAAATGACAGTCCCTTCCCCAACCCCTGAACGGGATTCAATACTGGCCTCATTTTGACCTCCAGACCTGGACACAATACAGGTCTCTTCCCTTTTCCAGGACCAGGACTCTGCACTAGGCTCACACCCAGCCCCAAACCAGGATCCATCTTTGGCCTCCATCTCAGTACCAGCATGGGACCTTCCATTGGCCTGGTCCCCAGTCCTAGCCCAGGACCCTCCACTTGCAGGGTCCTCAGATTCCAATCCAGACCCGCTACTGGCCTCATTCCCAGGCATAGGCTCAGCCCAGGACTTTCCACCAGCTTGATCCTCAATGCCAGCCTGAGAGCCTCCTCCACTGGCCTGCTCCTCAAATTCAGGTTTGGAACAGCTAATGGCCTGATTTCCAGCCCCACTCCAGGAAGTTCCACAGGCTTGACTCCCAGGGTCAGCCCAGGACCCACCACTGGACTGGTCTGCAGATCCTGGACTAGGCCCACTAACAGCCTGGCCACCAGTCTCATCCCAGGAATTTCCTCCACTGGACTGGTCCTCTGGCCCCAGCCTGGACTCTCCACCAGCTTGGTCCTCAGTACCAGGCCAGAACCCTCCTCCACTGGCCTGAACTTCAAACCCAGATGTGTGACAGCTACCAGCTGGATCCCCAGCCCCAGCCCAGGACACTCCACTGGATTGGTTCACAACCCCTAACACAGATCCTTCAATAACCTGGCTACTAGCACCAGCCCAAGACACGCTACCACTTGTCTGACTCCCACTGCAAGCACTGAACCATTCACTGGACTGGTCCTCGGGCCCTGACCTAGATCCTCCACTGGCCTGGTCCCCAGTGCCAGACCACAAATTTCCCATGGGCTGGTCTCCAGGTCCCAGCCTAGATCCTCCACCAGCTTGGTCCCCACTGGCAGCCCAGGACTCTCGTCCGCTGGTCTGATCCTCAAATTTATGCTCTGCTCCACCACCGACATGATCTCCAGGTCCAGCCCAGGACGCTCCACTGGCCTGGTTCACAGCTACAACCAAGAACCCTCCACTAGCCTGGTCCCCAGAATCAGCCCAGGACCTCCCACTGGATTGGTCCTCAGGCCCTGACTGGGACACTCCACCAGCTTGGCCACCAATGCTAGGCAAAGACCCTTCTCCACTGACCTGGTCCTCCGCTCTAGGCATGGACCCACCACCAGGTTGATCACTAGTCCCAGTCCAGGAACCCTCACTGACCTGGCTGATAGCCTCAACAACAAATCCTCCGCTGACCTGACTCACAGTGCCAGGCCAGGATCCAACACTGGCCTGGTCCACAAAGCCTGACCTGGCTCCTGCAACAGCCTGTTCCCCAGTCCTAACCCATGTCCCACCACTGGTCTGGACCACAGTCCCCAGCATGGATGCTCCACTAGCTTGGTCCACACTGTTAGGCCAGGAGCTAACACTGATCTGGTCCTGGGGCCCCAGCGTGGACCCTCCACTAGCCTGGCCACCAGTTGTAGTCCAAGAAACATTTTCACTGGCCTGCCCCTCAAAGCTAGGCTTGGCAACACCACCAGATGGATTAGCAGTCCCAACCCAGGATCCCCCACTAGTTTGGTCCACAGTCCCAACCCAGTACCCAATAGTAGCCACACTCCCAGCCTTAGCCTCAGTCCAGGAACCTGTGTTAGCTTGAATCCCGGCCCCATCCTGGGTGCTTCCACTGGCCTGCTGCTCAGCCATGGTCCAGGACCCTCCAATGGCTCCTGTCCCAACCCAAGACACCCCACTGGCCTGGGCCCCAGCCCAGGATGCCTCATTGGCCTGACTTCCAGCCCAGAGCCCTCCACTGGCCTGGCTGCCAGCCCAAGATTCCCCAATAGCCTGGTTTTCCGTGCCAACCCAAGAGCCCCCAATGGACTGGTTCTCAGCCCCAATCCAAGACCCTCCAATGGCCTTGCCCTCAGTCACTGCCCAGGAACCCCCACTGGCCTGACTGCCAGCCCAGAATGCTTCAGTAGCCTGACTCCCAGCCCAAAGCCCTCCACTGGCTTGTTCACCAACTCCAGTCCAAGAGCCAATACCAACCTCACTCTCAGCCCTTGTCCCAGGCCAGGCCTTCATGGCAGCATCATCAAAAGCCCCACCCCAAGATCCAATATTGACTTCATTCTCATCATCAGCCCAAGACATGCTATTCTCCCAATAACCATCCCTGGCCTGAAATCTAAATTTGATCCATCGCTCAGAAGCAATCCAGTCCTCAACACCAATCTCACTCCAGTAATAATCATGGATCTTGGGCTGCATCTTTCTGCAGGCCTCAGCGCCTGTCCCACTCTCATTCTCAGAAGTGGGCATGGCCGTGGTCTCTGAATTTGCATAGAGCTCACTTTCTCCTGTGGCTTCTGCCTCAGACTTGGGTACAGCCTTGTCTTTTGCTTCAGGCAAGGTCTTACTCTGGGAATCGGCAGTGGACTGAAGCTGGCCAGAAACCATGGTCCCTGCCTTGGGCTCAGCATTGGGCTTGTTCCTGACCTTACTCCTGGCACCAAGCAAGGCCTCACAGTGAGAACCGGCCATGGCCTGAGGCTGGGCAGAGTCTGTTGGATCTGACCCAGTCCCTGCCTTAGACACAACATTGGGATTGCCCCTGACCTTGCTCCTGGCACCAGACGAGGATTCGCCTTGTGAATTAGACACAGGTTGGGGCTGGGCAGAGCCTGCAATATCTGCCCCAGCCTTTACCTTAGACACAGAATTGGGATTGCTCCTGACCTTATTCTTGGCACCAAGCGAGGCCTCACCCTGGGAATTGGCCACCGCCTGGGGTAGGGCAGAGCCTATTGTATCTGTCCCAGTCTCTGTTTTAGACACAATATTGGGATTGCCTCTGACCTTGTTCTTACTAGGCAAAGCCTCACCCTGGGGATTGGCCACAGCCTGGGGCTGGGCAGAGTTTGTTGAATCTGGCCCAGTCCCTGCCTTAGAGACAACATTGGGATTGCCCCTGACCTTACTCCTGGCACCAGACGAGGATTCGCTGTGTGAGTTAGACACAGTTTGGGGCTGGGCAGAGCCTGCTGTATCTGCTCCAGCCTTTACCTTAGACACAGCATTTGAATTTTCCTTGACCTTATTCTTGCCAGCAGGCAAGGTCTCACCTTGAGAGCTGTCCACAGTGTGGGGCTGAGCAGGGCTTGTCGTAGCTGTTTGGGGCTGGGCAGAAAACAATGGACATGACCCAGTCCCTGGCCTAGACACAGCATTGGGATTGCCCCTGCCTTTCTTCTTGGCACCAGACAAGCCTTCAACTTGTGGGTTAGACACAGCTTGGGACTGTGCAGAGCCTACTGTATCTGCCCCAACTGCTGCCTTAGACACAGCATTGGCATTGCCCCTGACCTTATTCTTGGCACCAGACAAGCCTTCACCTTCACTTGGAATATTAGATGCAGCCTGGGGCTGGGCAGAGCCTATTGCGTCTGCCCCAGCCCCTACCTTCGACACAGAATTGGAATTGCCCCTGCCCTTATTCCTGGTGCCAGGCAAGACCTCCTCCTGAGAGTTGGCCACAGCCTGGGGCTGAACAGAAACTGTCGTATCTCTTTGGGGCTGGACAGAATGCAATGTATCTGACCCAGTCGCTGCTTTAGACACAGCATTGGAATTGCCCTTCGCCTTATTTTTGGACCCAGGTAAGGCCTTACTCTGTGAGTTGGCCACAGCCTGAGATTGGGCAGAACCTGTTGTGTCAGCCCCAGCCTCTGCCTTCGATAAAGCATTGGGATTGCCCCTGCCCTTACTCTTGGCACCAGGTAAGGCCTCACCCTGGAAATTGGCCACAGCCTGGGGCTGGGCAGAGTCCACTGTATCTGGCCCAGTCCCTGTTTTGGATACAGCATTGGGATTGCCCCTCACCTTCTTCTTGTTACCAGGCAAGGCCTTACTCTGTGAGTTGGCCACAGCCTGAGACGGGGCGGAGCCTGTTGTATCTGCTCCGGTGCCTGCCTTAGACACAGCACTGGCACTGCCCCTGACCTTTTTCTTGCCACCAGGCAAGGCTTCGCTGTGGGAAGTGGTCACAGCCTGTGGCTGGGCAGAGCCCATCGGATCTGCCCCAACCCCTGCCTTAGACGCAGCATTGGCATTGCCCCTGACCTTATTCTTGCCACCAGGCAACACTTCACCTTGTAAATAAGACACAGTCTGGGGCTGGGCAGACCCCGTTGTATCTGCCCCAGCCTCTTCCTTAGACACAGCATTGGAATTATTCCTGACCTTATTCTTGCTGCCAGGCAAGGCTTCACCTTGTGAAATGACTATAGCCTGGGGCTGGGCAGAGTCTGCTGCATCTGCCCCTGGCCCTGCCTGAGACACAACATTGGGATTACCCTTGGCCTTATTCTTGCCACCAGGCAAGGCTTCACCTTGTGAATTAGACACAGCTTGGGGCTGGGCAGAGTCTGTTGTGTCTGCCCCAGCCTCTAAATTAGACACAGCATTGGAATTGTTCCTGACCTTTTTCTTGCCACCAGACAAGGTCTCACCCTTGGCAACAGCCTGATGCTGACCACAAGTCTTCAGTTCTGCCTTAGTCCCTGCCCTGGAAATGGCATTAGTATCACCTTTGTCATCCACCCTGGAATCAGGCAAGGCATCAACTTGGGGCTTGATCCCAGCCTGAGCTTGTATACAGGTCTTCACGTCTGTCCCAAGCTCTGCTTTACTCTTGGCTTTGGCTTTACCCCTAGCCTTACCTCTTTTACTCGGCAAGGCCTCAGCGGGGCTCTTGACAGAAGCCTGAGACTGTACCTTCATGTCTATCCCAGCCCCTTCCTGAGACATGGTACTGGCATTATCCTTGGCCTTAACCCTGCCATCAGGCAAGGCATCAGCCTGGACAGTGGCCATAGGCTGAGACTGTACATAGGACAACCTGTCTGTCTCAGTCCCTGCCTTAGACATGGCAATGGAATCACCTTTGGTCTTAACCTTAGCTTCAGGCAAAGCCTCAGGCTGGGAATCAGTCCTCAAGTTTGCCTTGGCCCCTGCTTTAGAGATGGCATTGGAATTGCCTCTACCTTTAACCTTGGCATCAGGAATAGCCTCAGCCTGAGGACTGGCAACAGTTTGAGGTTGAACAGTGGCCCTTATGTCAACTCCAGTCATTGCTCTAGATATCACACTGGTATTTTCCCTGTCATCAGCCTTGGCACCGGGCGTTGCCTCAGCCTGTTTCTTGACCACAGTCTGAGATTGTGTAGCAGCTCTCATCTCGGGCCCTGCCCTTGTCTTACACATGGCATTGGTATTACCCCCAGCATCAACTTTTGCCCCAGTCGTGGTCTCAGCCTGGGCCTTGGCTACAACCTGAGGCTGGGTAGATGCATTCACATCTACCCCAGACCCTGCCTTAGACATAGTTTTGCGACCCCGCCTGCCCTCAACTCCAGTACCAGGCATGTCGTCAACCTGGGCCTTGGTCACAGCCTGAGACTGTGCACAGGATTTCATGTCCACTCCAGTTTCTGCTCTGGATGTGGTATTATCACTTCCCTTAACATCAACTGAGGTACCAGGCCTGGACTCAGATGGAATCTTGGCCACACTCACAGTCTCTTCCAGGGCTCTTGCCTTGGTCTCTGCAACAATTCCAGTCTTGTTTATGGCACCCATCTTGGCCACTTCCTTGGTCACTGCCAAGGCCTCACTCTGCGTCACCATTACTCTGTTAATTTCTGTCTCTTTTTCAGCCAACATACGAGCTTCTGCTTTGGTCTGGGTCATTGCTTCTTTCTTGGTGTCTGCCTGGGCAACCGGTGCCCAAGTTTTAGCCTTGGTCTGGGTCACTGCTTCTTTCTTGACTACTCTCCCAGCCTCAGAGTCAGTTTGGGTCACTGCCTCTTTCACAGGCATTTCCCTGGTTTCGTCCTCGGTGTCACTCAGAGCCACTCCCTCTGTCACGACCACTGTCCCAGCCACTGTTTGGACTGCAGATTGGGTCCCTGCCTCTGTCCCAGCCATCGTCTTATCCTGAGAGTTGGCTTTGGGTCTGGCTCTAGCCGCGGCCTTAGTCTCTACTTCAGCCCCAGTCCCATTTCCTGCTCCAGTTTCTGCTCCAGTCTCAGCCTTGGGCTTAGTTTCAATCGCTGTTCCAGCCATGACTTCACTCATGGCCAAGGTCTGGTTCTGTACCCCAACCACACTCTCCATCTTGCCTCTGGACCCATGTCTGCCAAGCCTCCTCACACTCTGGACTCTTTCCTTGGTTAGTTTGTAAATATAGTAGCAGGTACCAGCCCAGATCACCAGTCCTGCAGTTGCCCAGCCCACTTCCTGAACGCGACCCATGTAATCACCCCTGCTGAAGGCACGAACAAGGTATGGGTGTGGGGGAGGGGAGCCCAATCAGGCTGGGGAAAGAGGGTGGTAGGTCTGGGTGTAGGCCTGTGAGGGCGCGGGTCTTCAGTCACTCAAAGGCCACTACAGCCGCCACTGGAGGTGGACCTAGAAGTGGAGGAAGGAAATGGACTAAAACTTCTCTTCTAATTCTGTGCATCATATAGATAGATACACAGAAGGACAGGAAAGTGTAAAATGATGTGCTCGGTGGGAGAAGACGATGACTAGCAAACTCTCTCTCCATCCTCTTTATTTTATCCCCTCCCCCATCTTCCCCAATGCCCAACGATTTCTCCCAAGCTACTTCCATCCATACACATTTCCTTACTCCAAATGAAGTGTAGAAAGGAAGATGGGAGGGCTGAAGATGAATGAGAGAGAATGAGCAGCTCTCAGACTTGGATTTTTACTGGACCTATTCTGGTCACCATTCCCACAGGTCCCCACCCTCATACCAACCTGGAATGGTCCAAGGCAGTTCCCTCCTTTCCTTCTCTTGATTGGTGACACACCCTAAAGTGGATCTATGAACTCATGAGATCTGTGGACCTAGAGACAGATAGACAGATGGAGGGACAGATGGGAGTGGAGATTCTGTTCTTGATGGGCAGGCATATTATTAGCAAACTGCCTCTCTAGCCCCCTCAGTTCACCCCACTCCCTGCACCAAACTGACAGGGATGATAAGAAAGGTGGCGGGGAAAGGAGAGGCTGAGAATCGTCTGGTCTAGGCACGGATCTTACATGCATGCTGGTCTCCACCAACCCACCCTAGAGGTCTGCCCAGGCAGCCCCCATCCTCTTACCAGGCTATACTGATCAGGGGCAATTTCCTCCTTATTTCTTTGCTTCCAGTGATCTCAAACCCTGCAGAAGGCCTGCGGGCAGATCTATGAACAAGTAAACAAACAGGAGGTAATAGAGACCGAGATCTTTGTAGAACAGACAAATACCCTGATCCCTGGCCCCAGTGACTGCCTTGTCAGAGCCTGGGCTCAGTTTGCTAACAGGACCCACATCGTGGCCTCCTCTCTCATCTTCTCTTAGTCACACTCCAGCCCACCATTAAGCCCAAATTCCCACTGTTTCTTAAACTGAAATCAGTTGGGGGTGTGGCCACACCAGAAATCTGGCAGAAAGTAGGAGAAGCAGAAGCGCCTGCCACCGAGGTGCTCTCAAATCTCAGGTAACTTCTAGGCCCAACCTCTCTTGTATCTCCAGGCATGCCCCCCTTCACACCAACCTCCATGGCTCCAGGTCAGCATCCCCCTTTCCTTTGCTTCCAGTGGCAAACAGCCCTACTGTGGGCCTAGGAGAAGACCTAGGAACAAACAGAAAAGGGGGAGATGTAAATGTTGAGTGCTTGTGTCATCTCAGCATTTAAGACATGGGTACCTTACTTACTGGATTTAGAGACTCATTCCCTGACAAGCAGAGCCTGGGGCTTGCCCAACACTGAACTGGGCAGTGTGGAAAAGACAGGCAGGGAAAATAAAAGGGGATAGACAGAGACAAATTATTTTCAAACCACCTGTAGGATTCTAGGGCTTCTCCCCCAAACTCCATCATTTCCTTCACCAAGATGGACAGACAAGTGTGGTATCTGGAAAACTGGAGGATGGCAAGAAAGATGGCAACCCCCCCCTCCAGATGCCATACTAGATTCATAACTTACTACCATCTATTTCCCTTTCAATCCATCTCTAGGAGTCTCCAGCAATAGAAGAGACAAGGCTTGTTTCTGCAAAACCACTATTTCTCCCAGCAAAGGCTATCTCAAAAACGAAGCAATTTTCTTTGATACAATTTGTATTTTCTCAATATTATCTAAAGAACAATTTAAAGAAGCCATTAAGAAGTTTGCTCTCTTTATTGGTTTTCAACAGACAACGAACTTAAAAATGCTAAGCCTGGTCAATAAACTGCCCCTTTGGGGTGGAAATCCCCTAGTTAGTCCTGTCTGGTATCCCAACAGACCACGGCACCTTCGTTCCTGTCATGGAGGATAATTCCTACCCACTTCAACGGTTCACAGACCGTGCCTGTGTTCACACTAACCTCCACAAATCCCAGGCAGTTTTCTCCTCTCCTTTTCCCCTCGCCTGGCCACAAACAGTGCCACACCGAGCTACTGTCCATCTGACAGGACAGTCAGGGCGCTGAGGCTTAGACTGGCACCCAGGAGACAGATCCCAGTACTCGCCTTTCTGGATTCAGGAACCTCGGGGTCAAACACTCCTCCCCACATTCCCAGGTGCCACCCTCACCAAGCCCTCAGTCCAGTCACTTAAGGCCCACCATTTTCTCTGCTAACGCCACCACCGCATGTCCCTGCCACGGAAACGAGCAGGAAGCCGAGTGGGCATGTGCGGCCAGGGATTAGAGCCAGAAAGGATGGGGCATCTCAATCTCTGTCTTTCCCCTGGAGACACTCCCCTCATCTTCCGCCCTGTCAAAGCCCACGATTCCCCTTCACAGATGTGGGGAGGGGGAGGGGGGCTAGGAAGAATCACAGGCGAAGGCTCCCCGAGCTTGAATCGCTTTGCCTCCCACCTCCCCACCGGGACCCGCTACTGGGACCTTCAGGCCGCCGCCGCCCCGGCCTGGGCGCGCGGGCCCCGGGGCCCTTACCTGCTCCGCTCCCCCGGGCCCGATGCCAGCCCGCCGCGCGCAGGGCAGCGGGGACCTGGTACCCAGACGCGAGTGACGACTGCGCCGAGGGCTGCGTCGCTTTGCAGCTCCCGGTCACGTGAGGGCCCCGCGTCACCGCCGAGCTCGCCCTCCTCCCCACCCCACTGGACCCCACCCCACCCCCACTGGCCCGCGGGCGGCAGGACCGGACCCTCCCCCCCCCGCCGCACGCACGGGCTCCCCCTGCTCCGCCCCGCGCGGGCACCTGGGGCGCACCACCGTGTCGCGGGGCTCGTCCTCGCCAATCCGATTGCCCACGGCTGTCGCGCGACGCCCCGAGGCCCGGGTTTGCCCTTCTCTGGTCTTCAGGGGAGGTCTGAAGCCCTCCCCCCCCCCTCCCCGCCTCAGGCCCTGGCTGGACCTGCTGTTTCTCTGAAGGGATCCTCCTTCTCTGTTAAGCTGTAAAACCAATGCTCCCCATAGGGTTTCCTCCACAAACTCCTCTCCCTTGTAATAGCTGCCCCAAATGGATTAGGAAAAGGGTGTCAAGAAGAGAAGAGAGAGCAAAGAGATGCTTAATTTTCTTAATTGCTTAATTTAAAAAAAATCTTTTATATCACGTTCATTGTTTTTGTCATCAGAAAATGCAGTCATTTTCATTTGACATTAAAAAATAGATCATGAAGATCATGCTCAGCTAAATAAGCCAAAAAGAAAAAGAAAAATACCGGATGGTCCCACTCATAGCAGGAATCTAGAAAACTTAAATAAGGGACCAGGAAAATGAATAACTCTAAGAAAGTGAAAATCAAAATCAACAAAAAACTATGAACCAGAGACACTTTTTGGGGGGTGGGGGCGGGAGGGGAGGGATTGGGGTCAGAATGGGGGGGTTGCAATTGTATGCGGAATATAAAAATAAAATTTATTATTTAAAAAAAATAGATCATGAAGATAACAGAAGATTCATTCATTCGTTGATATTATTTTGTGCATCATAAAAAATGTTTTCTAGTTGTTATGAACTTTTCACAGCTTTCAAAACAGACTAGTGATTGCTGACATTTTTAATACAAAAAATACTAAACAAAACCAGTATATTTTTCAATGTGTTCGATAAATTGATCTTTAAGTTGATCCAGTTTTCTAATCTTGACAATTTTACCCAAATGATTTATGACCTTTTGAAGTTCTAGCAGAATTTAGCATCACATGTCAGATGTCTGAGAATTTCTTCATGGATGATTCCTGGATGATTGGATGGAGATCCAACTCCTGATGAACTCAGTGCCTGAAAATTAGTGTTTGTTTACCATTCCAGGGACTTATTGGGTTTTACAAAATAAGTGTGTGATCCAATCAGTCTCATCACACCAATGCACAGACCAAATGACATTCCACTGATGGAAATAAGACTCAACAGATGGGATTTTCACGCCACCGTGACACCACCGTGACCCTGTCTCCTGTATCTTTCATCAGGTAGAACATGCCACCCTGGCAGTGGCTAGTGTTCAGCATCCTCCAGTGGGGGCCAGGGCTGGTGGGTGACAGAATTTCTTCAACAACCCTGACATTCTTATCCTTTTCCCCTCACAAAGGATAGTTTACAGGATCCCAAGTAGTTACCAAGAGAAAGAGGTTTTTCATTCCCTCCTTCTGTTACCATTTCACTGTACCTTCCCTACACCCCCTAAGGATAATCCCAAAACTCAGGGACAAAAAAATATGCCAAAGTCCCCAGACATCCAGCTGTCCATGCTGGGGAGTCATACTCTAAATATAGACCCTCAGGCAGCCTCTTTCTTAGAACGTTGAAATATGACACCCCAGCAGGAAGTAGCCCCATGAAGGGGCCTCTGTGTGTGTGTTTGTGTGTGTGTATGTGTGTGTGTGTAAGCCCAGAATGCCATGGAACTTACTAATGGCTTTTCAGAAGTCAATTGCCCATGACCAATTTATGTTCTTGGCCAAAGGGAAAGATTCATAAATTTATTACATAAAACAAACTTTAATCATGTGGAAAACAAAAACAAAATGCATAAGGTGTGAAACTGTACTCTGGAAATTATACAGTTATGTAAACTAGTGGCAAATCAATAAAACTTGAAAAAAATCCCATAAGCTTAGCTTGCCAAATGGCTACTTTTTAATAATCTGAGAACTCTTACAAATCATTAATAAAGTGATAAACACACAGTAGAAAAATGTACCAAAGTCACAAATGGATTTGTTTGCACAGAAGGAATACAAATGACAAAAAATATGAAATCTGTTAAACTTCAAAGAAATGCAAATCATAACAATTATATCTTAACTGTGTTTCAGCTAGGAGTTTATCAAAATTTAGAAGTTTGCTAATATTGTTAACTGGTTTGTGGGGAAATGGACAGTCCTGTACTCTGTTGGAGGCACATACTCTGGTGCAAATTTTTTATAGAGGGCAATTTAGAAAGATCTATTAAATAATAAGTATAGTATTCTATAAATTATTTGACGCAGAAATTCTATTCCTTAGAATCTAGCCAGCCTATATAGTTACACAGTTTCACAAAGATATATCTGTATCTATATCTATTAGGATATCTATTGCAGTGCTTGCAAAGATTTAAAAAAACTGGAGCAAAATAAAATGTCCATCAATAGGGGAATGGCTAAATAAATTGTGTTAAATTGAAACAATACGGTTGATTATAAAACAATCTAGTTCTGTGTATATTAATGGAAAAATGAATGCTGTATTTTATTATTTGCTATTTATTTTTTGTAACTGCACGTAAATTCAGCAAGAATACATTCTAGTATAAAATTCAAAGGCAGAAAAAGCACCACTACTGCTTTAACTCCAGTATCCTCATTCAAAGCAGTTACCTCCCCATTATTTTAAACTTGGTGTGTTAAATGTTTTTCTATATATTAAGTACTCATATATATCTTATTAAAATATATAAATAGGACCATATTTAGCATACTGTTTTTGCAACTCTTTTTTCACTTAAAATTATATCTCAGAGATGTCATTTTACCAGTTTAATTAAAACTACTTTATTCTTTTTAATGACTGCATACTATTCCAGAGTTTGACTACGCTATTGTTTATTTAATCTGTCCCCTCCCCCAGTGATGAACATAAAATTATTCTGGGTCTAGGGCTAATAAAAACAAGGCTACAATGAACAACCCAGTATGTACAGGTTTACCAACAGGTGAAAGAATTTCTTCAGGATATTTTACCATAAATAAAATTACTCCATTAAGGATATGAGCTTTTATACATTTGATAATGCCAAAAGGAAGATGTGAGACTTTATCTATTTAATGGATATTCACCAAAATGGCCTCCAAAAAGGATGGACCAGGACCACTTCCCCTCTTACGCTCAATGTAAATTAGTAGTTCATGCCACAAGAAAAGTATAAGATTGTCTTATAACTCAAGTTTTTCTAAGTACCTATAAGCTTTAGTATATTTCATATGCTTATTGGTCATTTGGATTTCTTCTTGTAGGATTAGTTATTACCATCCTTTGATTTATACATTTATAGAAATAGCATAAAAATATCATTTTCTGGGGTCTCTCTGGTGGTACAAGGGGTTAAGGCTCAGCACCATGAAGCTATCAGCAGCCACTGAAGCACGAGTTCGATCCCCGGCCAGGGAGCTAACCCACATGGCACAGCAGACCTCTCCTGTCTTGCTCGCTGTCCCCCTCAGCAGTGTATTTCAGTCAATCTGCCTGTTCTGTTCCCTACTCTGTGGTGAGTCCTCTCACCCCCCACACACACCTCTGGCCTACACCCCAGCTCTTGTATGCATAAATAAATAAATCTTTTTTTTAATCATTTGCTATTTTTCTGTTATAGGGAATGTATGTATATATCCTCCCAATGTGTTACTGACATTTTAATTTCATGGTATTTAAAAATTTTTTATTGAGATAACATTAGTTTATAACACTATGTGACTTAGGGGAACAGGTTCACACCTCCCAGATGTATGCAACCACATCACACCCACCACCAAAGCACCCATAGCCCTTTACCCTAGATCACTGGGTCCTCTCACCCCTTTATTCCCACCTTCAACCCCCTCTTCTAGTAGCCTCAATTCTGGAGTCACATTCTAGGGCTTGTTTCGATTTAATCAGTTTATTTGTTTTGTTTCTCTATATTCCACATGAGTAAAATCAACCAATATTTGTCTTTTTCCTTCTGATCTTATTTCACTTACCATAATTCCCACCAGTTCCATCCATGTTGCCACAAGTGGCAAGTTCATCTTTTTTATAGCTGAATAGTATCCGCTGTATATATACAGCACATCTTCTTAAGCCATGCCTCTGTTCTTGGGCACTCAGGTTGTTTCCATAGCATGGCTATTATAAATAGTGCTGCAGTGAACATAACAATGCAGATATTCTTTCAAATTAGTATTTTTGCATTCTTTGGGTAGATACCTAGGAGTAGAATTGCTGGGTCCTAGGGTGTGTCTATTTTTAAAATTTTGAGGACCCTCCATACTGTTTTCCAAAGGGAAATATTCCCACCAACAGTGTACAAAGGTTCAATTTTCTCCTCATCCTCACCAGCATTTATTGTTTCTGTTTTTTGGTTTTCTTTTTTGTTTTGTTTTGTTTTTTGATGTGGGCCATTCTCCCTGGAGAGGTGGTACATGGTAGTTTTTGATATTCAGAATTTTTCATTTTGATATAGTAAAATACATTTTTCCAGATAGCTTCTGGGTTTCCTGTATGATTGTATGGTTTCTGAATTAATATACATACATACATATGATAAGTATGTATGATACCAGAACTGAACCACCTCAGTGGCAAGAGCCGGCAGCAGCAGTAGTGTTCTCTCAGCCTGTTGCTCCACCACAAACCAGTTCTGGCTATGATTCCTCAGAGCCCAGCAACTGCCCTTTTATGTGTACCTCCTGGATCATGGAAAGGACTAATCAGGTGTGAGCTATGAGCTGATTAGTGTTAAATGGTCCAATCAGCCACAGGATTGAAAAATGGTGGAATCAGACTTGTGGGTGGGGCACCCTGAAAGAGGATATAGGTCAAGGCCAGAGGGAGCTGAGTCAATGTTCCAACCTCCAAAGAAAG